CACGAGTTTTGAATAGTTGGAAGTGTTCAACAGGTGTGTTGCACACTTTTAAATGTTCAACCTGACCGTCGAGCCCTCGGTCGAGCCTACAGCTCAACGCTCAAGTTGAACACTACAAAGTGTGCAACACACCTGTTGAACACTTCCAACTATGCAAAACTCGTGTTGCACACTTAGAAGTATGTCACACGGTGTTAAACACTTTAAAGTGTATGTCAGTTGCACACTTTATATATCAGTGTAAGCTGTCGGGTTTTCAGAGTAGGCACCTATCCCGAGATGATTTCTCCTACGGGTTTACTTGATAAATCTAAAAGAAATCGGGGCGAATAAGAAAATATCCTTTGTCTGCATTTCTGTTTAACTCGCTGTGTCCTATGAAGAGAGGAAAACAAGAAATAGAAAAGAAAACCGTGCACAAAACAAAACTATTGTTTTATCTGACGCTGCCGGTATCATGATTTTTTGACAGACGTGCGCGCGATGACATATCGTCGGAAGAGCGCAGGTTGACATGCAGGTTGACACGACAGCTACATCGCACAGTGAAAACCTCCTACACATATTGGTACACACAGTCGTTGTTGAACGTGGGTCAACTTCTGAAATAGATCAATGACCCTTTCTGTTGTACGCGGAAATTTGTCATAAGAATTCTCATTCAGTGGATTTTATACATGGTCTGTAAATGCCGTTCAACTGCTTTCGAAAAATAAATATGACATTTTCTGCATCTGTCGGGCATGTTGTCGGCATTTTCGTTAAATAACGGTTTGTCGTTCAGTCCCTTGACGGAACGCGCATTTGTCATTATGTTGTCATCTTTTGGCTCGCTAATGTCCAGGACTACGAAACGTGTTGCGACCATATTGACCCTTTTTCTGCGTGGTTCTCAAAATACGATGTGACCATAGTAAATTTAGTAAACTGTAAAAAGTTTTCTCCAAATTTTTCAAACAACTAACCGGAAAATTTTGCACCATGGGCGATTTGGAACATTTTAAATTATAACAGTCTAGAAACATAATTTTTTAAAGAGTTTAAAAAGTCCCAAACTTTCTGGAAAATGTAGTTGAAAAATAGTTGTGAATTGAGTAAATTTATCTCCAAATTATCATTTTTGATGTTTCTGAAACTAACTAGTTCTTGTTCAAAATGGTACGTTCCTGGTTTTTGTTCGGAAATCTCAGAAAAAAAGGACTCGATTTTGTATCAAACAATCTTATATAAATCATGTTTCGAAACTCTTCGGACAGATTTTTGGTAGAATATTCTGACAATATTACATAACTGGGTTTGGCTATACTGACATGAGCACGCCTGGATTTGAGCCCGAACCACTGTAGGCCCGACCCGACCATTGCCAAATATGAGCATAGTTCCGAGTCTGACTTGGTCCTGGCTACGTCTAGCTTCGCTCGTATCGGACACTGCTTGCACCCACAGTGGTTCGGTCTTAACTCCATAGCCGGCCTCATGTCTGTATAGCCCTGGATTTTACTCGCCATGGGATTACAACACCACGTAATTCCATGATAATCCATGCGGCATGGGACTGGCTATAGTTTTTAGTACTCACCTACAGAAAACTTTCATCGTGTTGGGACAAAAAAAAAGGGTAGCTTCGAGGGGGCCGCCACTCCCGTAATCCTGTGTAAATATGGAAATGTAGTCTCCTTGTAATCGCTGTGAACCGTGTAATACGTAACCTTTTAAAAAAAATAACATCAAATTTCACCTTATTATCTAAATTGAACTGGCATGAGATAGCACCTTTGTTTTTCCAGTGTAATCTATACACTGTAAAATGCTTGCAAACTATATTCTTTGCAACGTTGCAAAGAATTTGTGAGCTTTGTATTGCAAAGAATTAGTTCGTATTGCAAAGGAGTTCTTTGCAAGCTGGCAGAATCCTTGCAAACAATGTGTTTGCATTGCAAAGAAATAGTTTGCAAGCTTGCGAAGAACTAGTTTGTATTACGATGCTTGAAAATTCTTTGCAAGCTGCAAAGAAAATAGTTTGCAATACGAACTTATTCTTTGCAAGCATTTTGCAGTGTAGCGTCCGAGTCCTGGACTCGATGTGCAAAATAGAAGTCAATAATGTCAAATAATAATAGACGTAGCTACTAAATATCAGTAGTTCCGTTGTGGTGGGATATACTGCCCCACTTCGTCAAAGATTCTTGTACTGCACTGACCAATAGTGTATTTCGACTAACGGGGGAAGAAGAAGAGCGGGTAGAACATAAACGTTACCAATGGGTCGAGAGCTTCCCGCCTCTACGTCACGCCGGTAGTGGGGGTAAGCGCTCGGCCAATAAGGAACCTTTATGTTCTACCCGGTCTTCTTCTTCCTCCGTTGGTCGAAATACACTATTTCTATGAGGGTTCCAGCTCAAAGGACAGGAACATGCGTTTTAAAAATGGATTCGAGATCCACTGCAGACTTCAGTGGGCCGGCAGGGTGTTTCTCGTATTGCTTCTTCCATCAGTTTTGGCCAAGGTGAGTTTTAGCCCACTCGTCGACTTCAGAGATGATTCAGAGTGCCCATCTGTCCGTGCGTCGTTCGTGGGAGTGATATAGTTTCTTTGAGGACATTAATTCCTCATCCCCATCTCGAGTGTAAGCACTTGGTCTAAGTACATGGGCGCCAGGCACAGTGAGATATCGCGAAGCCTGTAACGCTGGGCCTGGTCTGGGGCTCCAAAAACATGATTTTTACCTCAAGTCACATTTCCCTACGTGTAACTTTGTGCGCAAGAAGCTTTTTAAAGTTATGAAATTTTAAAAAGCTTCATGCGCACACAGTTACGTTTAACTAGAGGCTTACTAAACCTTCAAAGAACCGCAATAATCTAACTTCAATTGCTTTGGAGAGCGTTTTTTATTTAACGCGCATCTCTATTTTAACCTTAAAATAGCTGTTTTTTTGCCCGAATTTTTAAGTTTCAGTCCTCTGTTACCTTAACCGTTTGTCGTCACGTTCCCAAAGAAAGTACCTTTAGCCAATAGCCATGATGTATAGACGCATCCTTATTGACCTCGTGGTGTTGCGAATCCTCCTCTCACAGGTACCATCTTCGTCCACTTTCAAAAAAGGACTGAATCGCACAACGGATTCCCAGCATCTACTTTTAAAGCAACGTACCTTGACTTGGAGTGTCTATTGAAAGTAGTTAGATCCGTTGAACTTCCTCTGAAGCGAGCAGCATGGAGCCGGCCGCCGCCATCTCGTCTACAATCTTCTCTGACGCCATGTTTCAGGTGTCCTTACATGGCCGATATTAAAATTCTTCCTTCTCTTCATACAATTGAAGCAGCTGGGTCCATGACCTAACAGAACGGTTTAATTATTCAGGCAAGATAATCCGATTGATGAGGATAAATCATGTAGCACATCCGATGAGGGGCAACAATTCAGGGTGAGCGTTTTAGGAGGGGGGTACATTCTCTACTGGTTTTCGATTTGAGACCTTCTAGTGCATCTTTAGGTGGTCATTTCCAGTTTTTTTTACTTAGAATAACGCCACCAGCGCCCAAACAGTTAAAGATAGAGCCAACCACAAAATGTTGGCCCGATTTCATTTTCACGAGTTAAATCTAATAGAAATCCTTAATACCTAGAAATATTTCTGTGATACCCTCTTTGTTCCCGTTACCGGTGGTTGGAATGATATGCACAAGGCTTTTCGGTATCCAGGAGTGACCCTTGAGATAACCTCACAATTTCCGACCTCTAGCTGACCTTCCTGTTGCACGGACGACAGACGGACAGACAGCACGAGTAGCGGTTGCATGACGACGCGTGCTTGTCGGCTCTTGTTGTTAGGACGCGTCGATAAGCACCGTCTGAAGCTTATTCAAAGCAGAAAAACGGTGGCGCGGTATTAAAAAGTCTGTTTCAACGCCTTTTTGTAAACTTGACAGACAGCGTCAAAGACCAAGATGTCAATGAAATACTACGATATTAAGGCATGCGACAATGTGGTGCATTACTTTCGCATATTAAAACTCGACTACCGCATGTTCGATGGTGCTGACTTTATTGATGCCGACTGTTACGTCGGTGTTGACGTTAAGTATCTCAAAGTGGTAAGGTATTATATTAAAAAGTGTTGTCGAAAGAAAAAGTTCATGATCCCCTCTATCGCTACACGAGATCGGAAACCAACCGTCGACACTTATTGTAACCCTCATTTGCAGATGAACGTCCTACTTTACCGGTGCTTAGGCGGCGTTGGTCCCAATCACTGCGAGTACTTTACTCGGTTGATTTGGACCACGAGTCTGTGCGAACTAGCAACCGCAAAGAGCATGTTATGGACGCCACTAGTTGATAAAATCACTCCAACCTTCAGATGCCCTTATAAGGCAGTAAGTTTTCAGTGGTATTTGAAGCAATACTACTAAGAGAATAAAACTACTACTCCAAAAACAAAAGTGTGTGCCAGTCAAACAAATTTTAGTGCCACTCACTTGTCATTCATGAAGGTGTGTGTGCCTTTGTCGACATACACAGCAGTGTGTGTGTGCCAGACACTTCTCGTGAGGACTGCTCATCGAACAGATCCTAGGACCGCGTCTTGCGGCCTTGAACAGACCTCCTGCATCAGGTTAAGGCTAAGGCAAACTGCGTGTCCCACGTCTTGCCAGCCTAAGTAAAATGAGACAATGCTACGGCGGCGTTTTAACCAAGCTGATACTTTAACTGGGGAACTTTAAACTTAACTCTTTAACTGGCAAACTTTACGAGAGTACAAGATATTGATTACTGCGTATCATCTGATAAAAACTGTTTTACGCTACAAATTAAAAAAAAAAAAAAGGAATATTGTTTCTTCATGTCGACCTTGTTTAGATTTTAGAAAGACATCTCCTGTACAAAAATTGCGTAAATGGAGACTACTAGAATATCTCTAGATTCTGTAGCATTCATAAAGGGTCTTTAGTTGTCTCCTCATTCAGATAAGACCTAGAGACAAAAAGGGTAACTTCGACCTAACTCTTTTCATTTCGTCCAATCCTGGATACTTTGGCACGTAGACAAAAAGTGTTTTTTTTTTTTTTCGGAAAATGTGGCCTTTTGTACTGTTGATTGACGGCCACTACCGGCCACTAAGAATCTAAGTTGTGCAAAGCGCCACGCGGGCGTACAGAACCAGAACCGCTGCGCACGCGTTGTGCACAGGATTCATTTAACTACGAGATCCTGTAACTTAGCGCGTGCACTAATAAGGAAGGGTTCTCCTACGGATTTCTTTTTTCGCAGGGCTTCCACCAGGTCCGAAATGCAACGTTAGATTTGTCATCGTTCGAAAAACAAGGATTTCGCCTGCCTTGGGAAAAGTACATTTGGAAAGTCCACTGCCAGGTGTCTAATGAACTGGACCAGATCGGTTTATGCTTTAATGGAACGTTTGAAGTACGCCGTGTTTTGGTAAGGAAAGATAGCTAGTCCATATTAGCACGGAAAACTGTTTCTTTCACTGTTTTGTGTTAAAAAATTATATTAAAATTTGCTGGGACGATGTCTTTAAAAACTTAAAGTGCTACTCTTCTGACCCAACCTACACTTTCCACATAAGTACATTATACCAGCAGCTCTGATGAAATTACTGATCCGGTACATTTCATCCATTACGGTTCACCCCTTGAAATTCTCGCTTCCAGTGTTCAGCTTCTCTGCACTGACTCAGGGCAAGACGCAGGTGTTTGCCGGCTTGTAGTTGTGCGTTACATGCAGGTGGTGTAGCCTGCCGCTGAAAATCAAAACCATTCTCAAACTTGTCCTAGTCCACAATAGGACATAGCTCACATATGCTGACCCTTCAGCTCCAGAACTACAGTCCACTCCGCGGTGGGCAAGCAGGCGGGGCGCGGAAGGGATGAGTTAATGAGCTACTTAACACTGAAAAAAATATAGAGAGAATCCCCCCCACCCTCCGGGTGGCAACGCTCCGTCGCCAGCTACTGTTCGGTAAATTTACAGACCCAAATAGCCAGGAAATCCCCGGGGAAATTCACAAGCCAATGTGGTCGGGAAATGGGTCTTTCCAACCCATCCAAGTAAATTTACTACGTGGACAGGAAAGGAGTCTTGACTCACAATAAGCAAATTTCCTATTGCGCGGATGTGCGCACGATACCTCGGAAAGGAATAATTGATTGAGATAGCGACCTATGAATATAAGAGTAGTGATGTATCATTAAAAGACAGATCGAGTTCGAAGATGAGCATTCTAACTCAAAAAATTACTTATGAAAATCAAAAAGGATAGGTCACAAATAATAATTCCTTTTTTTAGAAATAAAAGGTAATTTTTTGCTGATAATTAGTCGGAAAAGTCCTAATGGTCCACTAAGTCGTAAATAAGGCTTCTTATCGAAAAATTGTAAAGAAAGTAAAACTAGTACCACGCATAGACGTTTTATCCAAAGCGGTCGCCCGATTACCGCTATTTTTGTCCAGGGACAACCTCTTCGCTGTGACCAAAATTCAAAATTCTGGCCACGGTGTTTGATGCGGAGTAGTCACAGGAATCAAACACCGTGGCCAGAACTTTGAATTTCGATCAAAATTAATAGATTGTCGCTGGAAACTATAAGCGTGCGGCATTGCTACATCGTTTGGATAAATGGTCTATTTGGCGTCGAACCACACCCTCCTCAGGACTCTAAGTGCCCTAAATCATCTACCATCAATAAAAAGATGTTTTTGTCATAATCTGACAAAAGGAGAACATTTGACGTATACTTTTACTGAATATCGGAAGTTTCATATCCCAAATATTGGGGTGAAAAGTCCCCCGGGGACAAAAGTCCCCGGCAATCTTCCCCTATACTTTCCTTTTAAATCGTCTCGGGCCTTTGGTGTCAGCGCCGCAGGCCTAACTGTGTGTGCCAGGCGCGTCGCAGCGTAACGGTATTTCGTAGGGTATCGCGAAGCCTGTTACGCGCGACAATGTGGTCTGGCGTCTGGCGGATCAACGCTAAAGGATAGGAGCGACCCAGGAGGCCCATGCAGCGACGGTAGCTGAGGAGGTGGTAGTTAGGAAGAGCTCCCATCAGGAAAGTTCGCTTTTAGTTGTGTCACTGTGTATTTAAATTTGTCTGAAAAAAAATTCCTCCCCTCTTCCACTGTTCGTATTAGTTTACCCACTGCAACTAAATCAGCTCACCCTAACTTAACTTGTAAGGCTACCCTATTTAGTCTCGGCTCCGAGAGAAGGAAACAGCAATCCCGAACGTAACCAGTACATCCTGCCATATCTTCGCGAGAGAACTAACTTGCAAACCTGCCGTAAAAATTGTCACAAATATTCCGGATAGGACACACTGTAAAAAATATTAGGGATTTTACAATCCAGTAGGCCGGGAATTTGCAACCATAGGTTGGGCATTTGCCTTTTGGGCTGGAAAGAAGCCCTT